TGAAGAGTGAGGAGCGCTGCAAGTGATTGTGCTGACAGTGGTGAGTGGTCATTGCTCCGCTTTCACTCGCGGACTTGGTTGGGTGACTAACAATGGGAACATCAAGCGCCAGCTCCTTGTTTGGCTTGTGGTGCCGTCCATTGCTTGGGCTGCTGGCTTCGCTCGGCCTTCCACGATGACTTGCAGGCGGTCCAGCAGGAGATTGAACACACGTTCAGCAGGAGCATTGCTCGGCTTTGGGATGGCAGATGAATCCTTGATTTTTTTGCCTGTGACCTTGGAGGTCTTCCTGTGTTTTGGAAGGCTTGCATCCAGCCTCCGAGCTGGTTGGACCACGTTCCTTTGCATGACGCTCACTTCCAGTGGCAGGCCATGATCCCGAGGCGCCTCCTTTTCTGCAGTGCGTGTGCTGGAACATGCAGCCCGATGCGACTGCACTCCGGCGCCGCGATGGGGCGGGGCGACGAGCATCCGCTTGCTGGTTGGCCGTTGGTTCCGGTAGTGTGCTGCGCTGAAACCGCGCCCGGATCCTGGCAACAAGGTCGGTAAAAAATTTGGTTTCCGCTATTCTGATGCACCGGACCACGCCCGGATGCTTGCAGAAAGGTTTGTGAGGATGATAAAACCGCTATTCTGATGCACAGGACGGCGCCCGGATGCTTGCAGAAAGGTTTGTAAGGAGAATAAAACCGAAAACTGTGATGGAGCAAATGCCCCACGCGGCGCATGCCCGCAGTGATGTCCCAGTGAACACCAACGCCGGTGATTGGCCGCACGGCTGGCGATACCATGCCTCGCGCGGGGGGGTCGCATGCTGGTGCATGGCTCACAGCTGTACCCTGCGAAAGCACCAAGTCGCTTTGAGGCGACGCTTGCGCTTGGCGCTGCCGCTCTGTCCGAGTCGCTGTGGCCCCAACCCAAGGTTTGCGGGTTTGCCGGCTACACGTGCAAGCGTTGTCGAGCGGGCGGCCTGGGAGTGCCGAAATGTGCCGAAGGTCAAGTCGCAATGGCTTGCTCACACGATCGCCCCGACGTCCCCTCGAACGACCGCAGGCGCCTCGAGCTCGTGCCGATGGTGCCACTGTTTACGGAGGCGCGTTTGGCTGCGATGCAAGGCGACCTGCATTCCCCCCTTACACGGACGGGTCACCTGCAATCGAGGTTGATGAGGCGGTGTTGAAGGTCGCTGAGCACCAAAAGGTTCACGTATCCTGAGCTCGCACGGGGTCCAGGGCTCGGTGATAAGTGGTGGGTGGAATGCGGGGTGATGCGCGACCCGGCTCTCCGCGCACCCCCTGCAGTGAGGACCGCGGCGGCCGCTGGCGGGCGTCCTTGCACCATGTCCTCGACCTTGCTGCAAACGACGAGCCCGGTCGCCTGGCATTGCGGCCCTAGCAGTTGTAGAGTCGTCTCAGCCGTGCAGGCGTAAAGTCTTGCAAAACTAAAAATATCACGGGGCGGACGTCGCTGAAAAGGGGCTGGTCTCCGTTAACATTGGCGGTGCTTGCGAACCAAGCGGCTTCAGCATTCCAGCATCCGCCAATCTCGACGCCGAGAACGACCAAGCGACACCACGACTCTCGGTGGTGCCACTGCGCCGGGTGCCCCCCGCTGACGTCAGTGGAGAAGCCAAAGTTGTAGCAACTGCGAGCTGGGAGCCACCCCACCAGACAAGTCCAGTAACAATAGGGTCAATGAGCCGCTCATCATGCCTTGCAGCTTGGAGGCTAAGGTCGCGGACCAGCACATTCGTAGCCACAGCGGCCCCGACCTCGGCAGACTCGTGCAGCTGCACGCTCAAGCGGCAGGCGTTGGCAGCGGCATGTGGATCATGTGGCAGGGGCAAGCGGCGGAGCAGAACCGGGCAAGGCACCGAGGCGACGACGAGCTCAGGATCGGTAGGGCCAGCAGGGCATCGTCGAGCACGCAGGGGCAAGTGCAGCCCATCGGGGGCACGGGACGCTCGGGACAGTGGCTTTGAGAAGGTCTAGAATCGGAACCTTCGTGGAGGGGTTGCGAACATCCAGCGCGCACAGTCCCTGCAGAAGGGGTGCATCCCGCACGGGCGGGACGGCGAGAGAGAAGATAGATGCCCAGAAAAATGCTGGTGCATGCAACATGGCACTGCCCAGGCCAAGGCCACCATGGCGAAAAGAGGCAGCAAGTGGGAGAGAGGAAGGCCTCGAAATGTGCGACGGCAAGCTCCCGCATGAGCCCGGGAGCAAGCAACAACCCGCTTTGAGGGTTCCAGTGCATGGTCGCCGAGCCACACGCGACGATCACACGGTTTTTTTGCCCCGCACCTTCTTCCGGTTGCCCAGAGTGTCAACCTGGTCCTACGGGGGAGCTCCTACCAGCAGGGTATCAGCGAAGCCCCTGGCAGCCGAAGCAATTGCTTCTTGCAGCAGCCGGTGCTCTCCGATCCCACTGGCGTGCAAAAATCGGGGTGTACGATGGGTGTGCCAAGGATTAGGGTGGGGGCTGCTTTGGCCGAACAAATCCGCATTTTGCCGAGGGCCGAGATGGAACGCAATGCGCGACGGCTCAGGACGGCTCCGGTCGTGCTGCCATGAGGGCATTGCTGGGACACAACGCGGCTGCTCGGCAGAATGCCTATTGAGAGGTTTTTCGCTCGCGCTCTGCCGAAGATAGGCAGTTGTCTGTCATGTTATGCTGTTCCGGTGGCGGCCATGGCAAAAGCGTTCCCCTGCTTAAATTACAGTACACACCAGAATTTGCCAAACCCTATTCAATGTAGATGCTATTTTCAAGAAACACGCGGCAGATAGGCCAGAGTGCAGGAACTAATGTTGCAGGGCTGATGTGGATATACCACATGTGCGGACGACAGGAGGAGTGGTCCAAGGTCAGCTGTTTTGAAAACGAGCGCTTCGTGGGCCTGCGCAAGTCCAGCGCGACCACAAGCGAACAACAAGTGAGAAGGGGTTCTGATTCTTTCAATTAACAAGCATGAGCACCCACACGGCTACACGCATGCGCGTTCATCATGCATGCAGACATACACAGCGCAGCTGCGCCTCTCGACCACGGCTCAGGTATCAAATTTGGCAATCAGCGAACTACCACGGCACAAGCCAGACTCGGCAGCAGGTGCGCAAAGCAAAGGCACGCATGCACTTCCAGTTGGACCTGAGATGTCGCGGTGATCCTCACAAACGTTCCATTGTTGAGGTTGCCCTCCGTGCCAATGCTACTTCGGGCAAGTCCGACAAGTTGAGATATGTTCGTCGGCATGTTTCAATGAAGGTCACACCCATGATCTGTTCTTTGGGCAGGTACTTTGGCACGATGCCGTTGGGCCGTTGAAGGACCCAAAATACGTGAATTCCCACATGATCTCATCATCACACCTGTATACACCTCAACGATCCTGTGCGCACGTCCCTGCAAGGACCGTCGCTGACTCGACCGGACCGGGCGACCGGACCTATGTTGAACTGTGACGCCCAGGGCGGCAGCCGGGACGCTCAGAGGCCCAGAGGCCCAGACGAGGTGCGACGAGCACGGCGTGCTCGGCTCCGCTGTCCCACGGAGTCCGAGCTGTCCAGAAAAGCCGGGACCAGTGCGGCAGTGTAGACGCTTTGTCGTTTCAAGGACGCCGACACGAGTCAAGGCATCGCGATCACCGACAGCGGCCAAGTATTCACCAAGCAGCTCTCGTCAGCCACACTATATACGCATTCATGCATCATGCTTGCAAGCGCGTAAAAAGCCGGGGCTTGCTCGCACGCTTCGACCTGAGTAATTGGATTATGACCATCACTTTGTAAGCCATATAGAACAAGATGAACAAGTAGCACCGGTGCTATGGCGACTTTGTGCAGTTTGCACAAACATGCAGCACGTGAAATGGCGCATCATGGCGCATCACACGCACTGCGGCCATCGAGCAAAGCAGCATTTTGGCAATTTAGGACCGGCACATGTCTGAAGTTCGAACGGGTAAGGATGGGCTGTTGCATTGAACATGGTGGCATATAGGCGCTTCAAGCAATGCTCCACATGCCTGCTCTCGTACGTCGCCGACAGGCTTGCGCATGCAGTGAGGCGGGAAATGGAGGGAGTGAGCGCGGCAGCGTTGTTGGGGTCTTCCGCTGCGCCAATCCGGCAGCGGCTCCGCGTGTGAAGTACCAGACTGAGCGACAGCGGTGTCCGACCGGTGATTCGGAATGGAAGTCACCTCGGAAACTCTGGCTGGCGGGCGTCCGGATCACACATTGCGCGAAAGTTTCTTCAGTGCAACGTCGCCGCAACACTTGGAGCCACCGGACGGCTGGCAATTGGAGGCGTGCTTCAGTGTCTGGGGGTTTCTCCATGGACGATACAGACGATGCCGTCGTATGTGAGTTGAAGCCACAGGTGTCCATCCCGGGCCATCCCAGTCGATTCCGCAGCACACAGCCATTATATTTTCGTTTCTAACTTGTGAAGGCTCCCGCGCTGGTCATTTTCATGTGGATGTTTCTGCTATGTACTGTGATTTTGCTTGACCGTTGCATTCTGCTGAGTGCCCGACACCTCGAGAGCACTCGAAGAGCTCCAAGCACACACCAACAGCAGGTTCCCGAAGTTCTTCCCGCCGTGTCTGTCGGCCAAACCAGACATAAACATGGATGATGATGGCTGAGTTCAAAACTTCTCCGCCATTCACATGCAGGGTTGCTATAGAGCCCCGCGCGTGCAGGATGGACTTCCGTTCCAGGGCGTGGAGAGATGCAGGTGGCAAGCAACAGGTGTTGGTGCTCGGGGCTGAGGCCTCGTCGTGCCTGTGCAACGGATTCGCCCAGGCAGGCATGGCGAGGGGCACGGGTGGCTGGACACTTCTGGGTCCGGCACACACTACGCGACAGACAAGAGCTTTTGCAAGCGAAGGAGTTCGGGGTAGCTTGCCGACTAAACAACGGAGCTTTCTCTGAACTTGGCGGCGTATGCCTGCTCTCAAATCCAACTCTTGAGGAATGCTTTGCCGCTTGCCCAGCCTGCAGCTGAAATCACGTCCTCAGTTCCAAACGGCCCCCCTGCGACAGAGTAATAGATGATGGCCACCTTGACTGCAGAGACTAAGCGCAGGCTTCTGAGCGCTCACTGGTGCAATGGTGGGGCAAGGCCAGGCATCGACAGTGAGCGCAACCTCGCCGGCTGCCTGACCAGGCTTCTCTATGGAAACGACTCTGGGTTTGCGTTGAAGTGCACAAGCCGTGGAACTGGAAGCAGCATCTAAATCTTATTGTAGCCGCTGTCACGCTCTCAGAAACGTGTGTTGCTACAACTTCAACGCCATGATCTACAGCGAGCTCTCGATCAGCTGCCGTGGCACGATGATCGGGCTGACATGTCATGTGTTGTCGGCGAAGGACCCGCATCTGCAAGCGTTGACATCTACCCAACCTGGTCATGGAGCACCATCGATCGTCGAGCATCAACAGTCAAAGGGAGGACGCCTGCAGCAGAAGCGCTGAGTCAGAATCTCCCCAGGCATAGAAACAGGCTGCAACACATGCTTGATCCTATGTGTTTGGTCAAGCATTAAGAATGACAACGGAGGGGAAAGCCGCTTGCCTAGTTGCCAGTCGCCACCTGGTGGGCTGCACGATCTCACCGACGTCGATGTGAACAACATGGCCCAAATTGGATGCCATGCGTCAGTTTCCTGTCCTACTTCCTGTGAACGTGCGCATGAGTGTAGGAGTTGCATATAGTTGCATCGGAAGAGCTTCGTCACAAGGCTTTGTCATGTAACACTGAATGCGGCGGCATCGGTTGAGGCCTGCTTGGTCTCTCATTGGGCTACCCTCGGGCTGTGGCAACGAATGTCTGCATATGTCTGCTCGTCGCCACTTCCTCTCATGTCTTTCTTTCTGTTAACTCTCTCTCACCCACTCGGGATGCCGCTTTCCGTGGTTTTAGCGGATGTCGGCTGGACTGCTAGCTCGAGTGTTGACGATAATGCCAACTCTTCCGATCGGCAACAGCACGGCAGTTGGCCTTGCTCTGTGTCTTGCTTGCACCCAGTCAAACGGCAGCTCAGACCGGCCTCGTCGACGCGCTCTGGTTTCTGTATCTTTCTGTCTTTCTGCCGGGCTTAGGGGTCGCGACCCGCAGGCACGTGGCCCGCCCGACCACTCTTTTGTTTACTAAGTGGTCGGCTTCGGGTATTCATGAGTGCTACACAGCTGCTACGCAAACGCATGGGTTCCCAAGTCTGCGAGTTATCATCCCTTCTTTACACTCTTGCTTGCTGGCTTGCTTGCTCGGCATGTGGTGAATGGGAGGAACCCTTTAAACTCTCTCTCGCTCTCTCTCCGTCCCTTTATTCCATCCTTTGAACGGGTATGGGAGAGGGGCAAACACTGACTCTCTGTATCTCATTCTTCTTACGAGTACCAGCTCAGACCCCCAGCGCACGCGTGCAGGCGCATGCGACTGTGCGGCCCTGTTCAGAGCACCCTTCCCCCGAACTCTGTCAAACGGGCTGAAGCATCGGAGGCGAGCCCCTGACCAAACGCGAACTTCGCCAGCTTCGCAGATGGAGACAGAGCCAAGCAAAAGGCGCTTCCGGCACCGGAGAACAAAAGCGAAGCCCCATCCCCTGCACTCAGTTTGAGGCGGAGGCTCTCCCACCCTCCAGCTCTTCCCGCCTGCCCGTTCTCGTTCAGGCTCACCACGCCGCCCTGTCATCACTCCGAGCCTGACCGCCACTGTTGGAATGTGTAAACTTGCCCATTAGTCGCGCATGAGTCGGAACCTCATCAACCCCTGATTACTGAATGGTTCAGACCTTATGGCCGAACGGCTCACTTGTCTGCAGGTTCTTGCAATTGAACTTTCGAACACGTTCCTCCCACGTCTCGTCACCTTTTGCGCCACACGAAATTCGGAGAGGTGGTTCTGCGTCGTTAACGCCCAGGCCATTATCCACAACCACAGCGGCAGCCAGTTAAAGCGCCGCAGTGGAGGTCTGCACTCGACTTCGCAGGCAATCACATAGCTGTGAATACACAGCCTTCTTCTGAGGCAATGAACGGTTGCCGCGCAGGTCAAATTGAAAGCGCGGCTGCGACATGCTGCGACAACCGAACTATGGCCTGAAGGATTCGTCAATGGTCGACTGTTTTGAAAGGGATGAAATGAATTCCAGCAACCGGGTGCCATATGCTTGCTCATCCCATAGCAAGGCCTCCCTTCGGGCTGAAGCACCCAGCGTTTCAATCTCGGAACCTCTCAGGAAATTTGTTATTCTTGCCACGGCCTCGTCCGACAATTCGTTCTCGTCCGGAGGCATATCTACACAAAGTGAATGCGAGCCCAGGAGTGCCCAGGCACCCACAGATTCACCGGCCAAAACAGACGGCACAGCACAGGCTGCTGCCTCAACAATTGTCATGCCGTATGCATCATAGGCACACGGGTGAAAGTTCAGAGCCGTTCGACCAAAAACGGCTGCCAAAGACTTCGGAGTGAGAAAACTGTCAACTATAATTGCATCTGGCGCCAATCTTTTTAATTCGGCCTTTACTGCCGCAGCATAAGATTCGTCAGAGTTGGAGCCAGCCAACAGTGGTACGAGACGCAGCTCCTGTAGGGTGTCCTTCGCCATCTGCAAGAAGCGGAGGAAACGGAAAACATTCTTCTCAGGCGAGATGCGTGCAACACAGGTGACAAGAAATCGTTGCTTCCTTGAACCCTCTGGACTTAAAGCGTCTTTGACTTCAGCTGGCAAAAACAAGTCGAGCTCCTCCTGTGCTTGATGGGCAAGCTCGTGCATGTCACCTCGTAATGGTGGCAGGAGAAGCTCGAACTTGCAAGCTGCTGAATCAGAGATCTTCATGAGGTTCGTTCTGTCAAGTTGAGAAAGAACCACGATGAGAGAGGCCCTTTGCAGGGCCTGTCTTTCCATCTCGTCAAACCATTGCCTTCGCCGCTCGTCCAGCACGCCAGAACTGTACACACGAAAATTCATGTAGACTAGAGGCAAGCCACTCGCGCAAGGGGGGAGCGACTGACATGCATGAGCTCCGGTCCAGTCGACGGCCACGACCGCATCGGCCGCATGTAAACTTTTTTCCAGACTCCGCTGCCCCGCTTCGTGTATTTGGTCGAAGACAAAGCGACTCCAGGCTGAGTGGTCATCCAACTTGAACCAGCCATCAGACTTTGCAAGCTTCAGAGGGATGACAGTGAGGCTGTGAACCTCAGACTCAGAGAGCTCCTCTGTCGTCAAATGGCTATTCTGACCCTGAAGCTCATCGCAGGGCTGGCAGCACAGCACGGTGACTTGGCAGCCCAGTTTTAACAGCGCTTTGGCTATGGAACGTGCGAGGATGCCATTGCCACTGAAGGGGCTGTAGGTAAATTCGTAGGTCACGAGGACGAGCCGCAGGCCAGGGGTGTAACATGGCTCCATGGAGGAAGTGAAGTTTGGCGCTGAGTTTGGCAGCGCTGGTTATTCTACCTGCATGTGTCATTACTACTGGCTGGGCTGCAGTATATAGGACCAGGACAGTCTTGGTTGGACATGAATCGTTGAAGCGGACTGGCCGGGCTCCAGTAAATCCCATTTCAGAGAGATCGCCTTCTGCCCCGTGAACCCATGAAAGGCATGCATCATACGACATCGTACGGGTATACGGTATATGGGTTTGATAGATCCTCAAACGATCCACGTCTCACAACACATCCAACCCAGCCACCTCTGCCGGACATTTGGAGGGGGTGGACCTACCAATCGATTTTTCTTCCCGGCTTTGCAATCGCCTCGGCTCGAAAACCCCATGCTGTAGCCTCTGACTTGCAGCTGAGAGCCGAGTCAAGGGAGCTGCGTGTTTTTTAGTTACGACTGTCCCTGTAAAGTGGCTGAGCGGTGAAGCGATCTGAATGTCAAGTGGCTGAGCAGGCTTTGAACCCCGACAGCGATTGATTTGTTCATCTAATTTTGCACATGCGTTTGCCGACTTTTATCCTCGGCAGGCACTGTTACGTCCGATACAGCCCGATGTGCTGATCGAAACAGATCGAAACAACAGACAAGGAAGAACCGTACGACATGTGTCTGGAGCACATACATCCGACAAAAACCTGCAAACACAGACACAGACACACACACAGACACACAGACACACAGACACACAGACACACACACAGACACACAGACACACAGACACACACAAACACAAACACACACACACACACACACAAACAAACACACACACACACACACACGCCCCTTTCTGAGCATCTGCGAAAACATGATCTGAAGTCCGAATTGAAAGAGGCCGTGCCTGCTCCCATTATCTCATAGATCTCACAGTGGCCGCACCATTCAATTCTGGCTCCTGTCAGTGCGGCGGGACAGAGGATGAAGCATCTCTTGCTTTGAAGTTCATTGCCCTTGCTTGTCCTTGGCAAGGACAACGGCGCCATCCACTGCGAGCTTCTGAGGGTGTGCAGGCGCGAGACGTTTCGGAGACTCAGGCCGCTCGCATGGCTGCTTGAGATTTTGAGCTGCCACCCTTGGAGTCATGCTGTGCTTGAGATGATCTGCTGCCGGCTCGCTTGGCCGTAGAGTTGACGCAATGTAAACACAGCGCGATCTTTCTCAAGCAATGTTTAGGGAGAGGCGGCCAAGCGAAATCGACATCTTAGTAAACGCGGCATGTCAGCCTTCGAGAACAACTACCTCACGAAAGCGGCGCAGACATGCCGATGGAGGAAGCGGCGGTGAGGCAGAGCCAAGCCCGGCTCGTGATGGGACAGGGCAAGGGCAACATTCGATGTGCCGGCTTTGCAACCAGTGGATCGGAAGGGGCCCGGCCGAGGCAAAACAGAATGAGAATGGCTCCTCAGTTTCGCAAGTGACATATTATCTGTCTCCGCCATTCAAATTATTACTGACGTCTTGCTTGCACAATGTGTACGCCTGCTATCACAAATCCCAGCTTGTCACCCTTCATCTCAGGCTCTCAACCCTCAACGCTGAACCCTCAACCCTCAGGCTCTGGCAAGGGCGTCACGAGTTCAGATGGGTTTGACGCAGAGTTCCCCAGGCGACTCAAGCAGCGAAGGCATCGTCGCCTTTTGTCCACGATTGTTCGAGCTGTCCGGTGTGTGTGTGTGTGTGTGTGCCGTAAGCACTTAAAGCATCTTAAACCCGGACCGCGCGTATCATCCAAATGCATCTTCCCGCTGATTGAGCAAACATAAGCATCACAGGCTTCGGCAAGGCTGCAGAATTAATTTAGGTATTTTTTTGTTTCCGCATTCTTTTTGTTTTCCTTCTTTTCTAGCAAATTACATGCAATTTACAAGTTGCACGACGTCTGAAGTGCCGACTTCTGTCTAAATGTACATCTGCAAGCGTGTCTACTCATGCAAGCTCTTTGCCTTTTGCAGTTTGAACAACATAGCTCGATTCTTGCTCGCC